AATGTGCCCCCAAGACAATTATTTAGATGTACTATATTATTATTATTATAATAAAAATAATAATAATAATAATAATAATAATAATAATAATAATAATAATAATAATATATTTTAAATACTATTATTATTATTATTATTATTATTATTATTATTATTATTATTTATGTATTTGTTTATTTGTAGTAGTAGTAGTAGTAGCATGAACATCAAAACAAACTGCACATGTATTCAGGACACTTATATGATAGCAATGTTGTTCATGCTTGAATGGAGTATCAAAACTTTACAGACCATTTTTCACAGTCAGTGCATCATCATATCTGGCTATAAATGTAGGGTTATCAAACTACTTATTCTACAGTAGTTATGTCTTCAGGGATTTTTATGTGTTTCACTTTATAATACTGTTCCTGATCATCATTAATTAATGAAGAACACAGTAACACCTTGTTCATTAGTAATACGCTACAATATGTTTCATTTCATGTTATTTTGTAGATTTTTAACTCAAAATGAAGAACAGCAACACCTCATTCATTATCTAACACACAGTAATTACATAATCACTTGGTAATACTTGGAACCAAGTGAATTTGAAGGTAGAACACACACACACACACACACACACACACACACACACACACACACATATGGTTAGGTCCAGAAATATTTGGACAGTGACACAGGTTTTGGCCTTTTAGCTGTTTACCAAAACACATTCAAGATACAGTTGTATAATCAACATGGGCTTAAGGTGCAGACTCTCAGCTTTAATTTGAGGGTATTCACATCCTACATTGGAGGAAGGGTTTAGGAATTACAGCTTTAATATGTAGCTGCCTCTTTTTCAAGGGACCTAAGGTAATTGGACAATTATCTCAAAAGCTATTTCATGGGCTGCATGGGCTATTCCCTCATTAATCCATCATCAATTAAGCAGGTAAAAGGCCTGGAGTTGATTCCAGGTGTGGCATTTGCATTTGGAAGCTGTTGCTGTGAACCCACAACATACGATCAAAGGAGCTCTCAATGGAAGTCAAACAGACCATCATTAGGCTGAAAAAAAAGAAGAAATCCATCAGAGAGATAGCAGAAATGTTAGGAGTGGCCAAATCAACAGTTTGGTACATTCTGGGAAAAAAAGAGCGCACTGCTGAGCTTGGGAACTCAAAAAGGCCTGGACGTCCACGGAAGACAACAGTGATGATGATCGCAGAATCCTTTCCATGGTGAAGAAAAACCCCTTCACAACATCCACCCAAGTGAAGAATACTCTCCAGGAAGTAGGTGTATCAGTATCTACATCTACCATAAAGACAAGACTTCATGAGAGCAAATACAGAGGGTTCAGCACAAGGTGCAAACCATTAATCAGCCTCAAAAATAGAAAGGCCAGATTAGACTTTGCCAAAAAACATCTAAAGAAGCCAGCCCAGTTCTGGAACAGCATTCTTTGGACAGATGAAACTAAGATCAACCTGTATCAGAATGATGGGGAGAAGAAAGTATGGAGAAGGCTTGGAACAGCTCATGATCCAAAGCACACCACATCCTCTGTAAAACATGGTGGAGGCAGTGTGATGGCATGGGCATGCATGGCTTCCAATGGCACTGGGTCACTAGTGTTTATTGATGATGTGACAGAAGACAGAAGCAGCCGGATGAATTCTCAAGTGTACAGGGATATACTTTCTGCTCAGATTCAACCAAATGCAGCAAGGTTGATTGGACGTTGCTTCACAGTACAGATGGACAATGACCCAAAACATACTGCGAAAGCAACCCAGGAGTTTTTTAAGGCAAAGAAGTGGAATATTCTGCAATGGCCGAGTCAATCACCAGATCTCAACCCGATCGAGCATGTATTTCACTTGCTGAAGACAAAACTTAAGGCAGAAAGACCCATAAACAAGCAACAACTGAAGACAGCTGCAGTAAAGGCCTGGCAAAGCATCACAAAGGAGGAAACCCAGCGTTTGGTGATGTCCATGGGTTCCAGACTTCAGGCAGTCATTGCCTGCTAAGGATTCTCAACAAAGTATTAAAAATGAACATTTTATTTATAGTAAAGTTAATTTGTCCAATTACTTTTGAGCCCCTGAAATGAGGAGGCTTTGTAGAAAAATGGTCGCAAATCCTAAACGTTTCAAGTGAAACAAATATCTAAATATGAGAGGCCGTTTAGGCCAAAACTCCAACTTACCTCTCACATTCACTATCAAACCTCTCACACTCACTATCAAACCCTCTCACACTGTCAAACTCTCTCACACTCACTGTCAAACGCTTCACACTCACTATCAAACCCTCTCACACTCGCTATCAAACCCTCTCACACTCGCTATCAAACTCTCTCACACTCACTATCAAACCCTCTCACACTGTCAAACTCTCTCACACTCACTGTCAAACTCTCTCACACTCACTATCAAGCCCTCTCACACTCACTATCAAACCCTCTCACACTCATTATCAAACCCTCTCACACTCGCTATCAAACTCTCTCACACTCACTATCAAACTCTCTCACACTCATTATCAAACCCTCTCACACTCGCTATCAAACTCTCTCACACTCACTATCAAACTCTCTCACTCTCACTATCAAGCCCTCTCACACTCGCTATCAAACTCTCTCACACTCACTATCAAACTCTCTCACTCTCACTATCAAACCCTCTCACACTCGCTATCAAACCCTCTCACACTCGCTATCAAACTCTCTCACACTCACTGTCAAACTCTCTCACACTCACTATCAAACCCTCTCACACTTGCTTACAAACTCTCTCACACTCACTATCAAACTCTCTCACTCTCACTATTAAGCCCTCTCACACTCACTACCAAACCTCTCACACACACCATCAAACTCTCTCACACTCACTATCAAACCCTCTCACACTCACTATCAAATTCTCTCACACTCACTACCAAACTCTTTCACACTTGCCATCAATCTCTAAGGCATTCTTCATAGTGAGTGTGAGAGAACTTGATGGTCGCGTTTTCTGATTGGCCCAGAGAGTCATCATTTAAATTAGCAGTTTCTGATTCGCTCATAGTCAAATATGCCCGTCCCCCAGTGCGGTAGTTCACTCTTAAAAACAGATGGTTCTTCAGAGGTCCTTTAGTAAAGACGGTGGTTCTACATAGAACTAGGACCACAAAAACAATCATTTGCCTGATTAAAGAGCATGGTGAAATTGTTCTTCAGATTGATAGACAATGTGCTGTAGATGGTATGACTGAAGTCGTTTTGGTGCTATAGCGGTCCGTGTGTTCTCGGCCTTTAATCTGGTAAATTGGAGTTTTGGCCTAAACGGCCTCTCATATCTAAAGATATATATATATATATATATATATATATATATATATTTCTCTGAGCCATCTCTTTGATTCAGCCTGCACTCAAGAGAACTTTAAAAAATAACTACTGTTCAGAAGACACAGCACCGGCACACGTTTCTGCAGAAAAAATATTATGTTCTATTCTAAAGACAAAAGGTAAGCAGACTAGCAGATTGGTCTACTGAATACTGTGGTATTTTAGCAGAATATTGAATACTGTAGTATTGTGTGCTGTAGGCCCATGAACATGTAAGCCTTTAAAGCACAAGAAGAACACCAGTCAGTACAGTGTGGTGTGGTGCCCCGACTTCTCTGAGCATACCTGTTTCTGTGGATAATAATGGAGGATATAGTCCTTTACACTGTATAGACTGCTCACTGTGTAGTGTGATCAATACTTTTAAAAGTGTTGGAATACACTACATAAGTTAGTAGTTCACTAGGAGCCTTGTAAGACTGAATTGATCAGTAATTCATGAGCAGTTATTCTAAGAAACCATAGTTACTAAGTAATTCAACTGCTCTGAGGATGAAAAGAAAGTTGCTACCAGCAGTGTCCGCTTCACCTCCACAGGGCATTTCAGTTTGAACCTGGTAAGTGCTGTGAAAAGAACAAAAAAGCATCTGATTGACTTAAGGAAGGAGCAGGTCTTAGGTAAAGGAGACCATTCCTACTTACGACTTTCAGTGTCACTTGTAAACACAAGCTATGGAACAAATGGAAAATCAATCCTTCACAATTATGTGTTGCATTTTGGGTGTCTGGTGAGGATGCCTACCAGGTTCCTCCCAAAGATGAGTGATGTGTTAATAGAGTAAAGGCCAGTCATTTCCTGGGCCCAAGATTGATTCTGGGATCCTGGGTTAACTTTGATGATTCTGACTTTTTGGCCTTTAATAGATCATAATTGCCCAATTTTCAAGTCATCCTGATATTCTCTTCTATGAGCTCGCTCAAACATGCAGCATGACAAATTTTGGTTTGACTGAAATAGAATATCCTAAGGAGTAGCTACTAAGCTGTTATAACATCACTTATTGAGATGCATTGTTAGGCTACCTCTGCATCTTCTAATGCATAGGCTTGTCATGTTAGATCAGAATCAGACAAAGCATTCCTGAATTGCCTCAGGCCTCAAGGACTGTTTGGTGTGTGGCAGCCATATTGTTTAGAAATATTCAGAAATGTTTGATATGTGCTAAAGTTCAGACACTTGTTTATATTTTGACTACAGTTTTGTGAGTAATTCTTAGAACCTGGTTGAAAAAGTAGGTTTTGCGTATTATGCAAATTACCTAAAAAACAAGTGGTGCTTAATATTTATTGAACTTTTTGTTTGCTTTGAGATAGGGAATCAGCAGAGGCAGTCAGAGCTGTGGGCAAAAACATAAAACATGATAGAAAACATAAACGTTTGCTGTAGCACCCCCTTCAGGCACTGGTCTGGACAATTTGTTTTAGTGGTGAAAGACAAAAATCCCAGCATTAATAGGCTTCGAGCGCTGAGTGCTTTGGACCCCTAATGAGAATAAATTAAGAAAAGTCAAATTTTTTAGTGTTATGACTATCTACAAAGTTCTAATATGTACAGAATATTTTTGTCAGGCAGTGATTTCCATATTCATTCATTTGTCTTTCAATGACAGCTATGTCCAGTACAGACCCTAATGACCCGTGCAATAACTACACTTCTTTGGATCAACCCTGGAGAGCCAACAATGAGACTGGGTTGTGGATTTGTGACCAAGACTTCAACTGGCACGGCTGGTACCGTCTGTTCTATCATGGGATGAACATCCGTATGCCAGAGAGCTGTGTTGCTGCAGGCATATGTGGTGGTTTTTACACTATATGGCTCAATGGTCCTCATCCTCAGATACAGGACGGAGTGGTCACACGCCAGGTCTGTGCAAGTACTGGGTATGACTGCTGCATCTTCCATCCCAAACCCATTCGAGTGAAGGCTTGCCCAGGTAGCTACTATGTCTATGAGCTTCTCAGTCCACCCACTGTTGATTCAGTGGACGGCAGCATGGTGTACTGTACAGGTAAAGGGTTTGTTTGACATGTTATACTCATTTTTTTCTTAAGAAAGTATTACAGCTCTTTTGTCATGATTTCATGTTTGTCTTGAAATTTCCTCTTTCTAGATGTTAGCACTATAAGTCCCACCGCTGCCCCCACAACCAATGCCACTGCTCAAAGATCCAACAACACCATGGGTAGGTCACGTATGCTGTTTATAAATTTGGTAGTGAATCGATCAACTCTGCAGGCATTAGTATATGAATTGCCTATAATATATTCATTTTAATTCATCGCTATAGGTGTCAGCATTCACATAGTAGAAACACAACAAACAAAACAGCAAAACAGCTCAGATCACAGTCATGTTAAGTGAATGAAGATGCAGATGTGGTAGATACAACATTCCCATTCAAATTAACAGCTATCACCAACTATTGTATTAACATTCCCACTGATGACTGTTTGTTGAAAAGTCTTTGCTCACTTTATGCTGCTCACAGGATGCAAAGACTTTTTTTCTTTTATTAAATATGTCTGTTATAAATAACATACAGTGAAAATGATGTTGGTACAGGTAAAAGTTTGGAGGCGAGGGGCTGAAAATCACTCAACCACAGCAGCTTTGGACACCATTCCTGCATTTCTAACTGGACCTTCAGTTATAAAACAAATCTGAAATTCATTCTCAGTCACTACCAACTACATACAAACGATTTATAAAAAAAAATAAAACAAAAATGTAGTCTTGGATGAAAGCATGCAACTTAGACATGCAACTGAGTCATATATAAATCTTACATTATTGTAGAATTCACAGCACAAAAAAAGGCAAAACAGTTTTAGTAATTTAGTAATTAGATTATTTGGATTTTTGCTTTAGTAGTAAAATGTTGCCATGGCAATAGGAGGGTTAGGCCTATGACATAGGGCTCATGGATCATGCAGTCTGCTTGCAACACACTGGCAAACACCCTGGAAGTGCCACTTTGAAAACCTAGATAGAAAACAGTCATTTAATCCCTGTTAAATCAACATCGAAGTGTCCATGTCAACTTTCTAGAATCAGCATTCTAACTTAATGTTGATGTTTACTCACTTTTGCAGTCTGGTCTAATATTGAAACAACATTGAGAGCACGATCTGGCTTCATTTGTAGTTGTGGTCAAATGAATGTATATCTAGCATCGTTGTGGCAGTTAAGTTTTATTGATAGTTTAATGTTGATCCACACAATGTTCACCCTGAAATTTCAAGTTAATGAATCAGTGCCACCCTGCTATTTAGGAAGTTTGTATGTCAGTTTGGAAAACTGCACTGGTGTATACTACATGGACAAAAGTATTGGGACACCTACATATTACACTAAAAAGAGCTTTTATAAATCCCATTCTAAATCCATCTACGTTAATATGGAGTTGATCCCCCTTTATAACAGCGTCCACTCTTCTGGGAAGCTTTCTACAAGATTTTGGATTGTAGAGGGAAGGTTTGGAACTCTGCGGTCATTGAGTCAGCAAAGCGTTGGAGACTTTTATGCACTATGCACCTCAGCATTTGGCGGCCCCACTCTGTAACTCCATAACTGAGTTTCTGTGGTTCCTAAAGACTTCCACTTTTCAACACCTTACAGTTGATTGTGGAATATCTACCCTTTCTTTCACAGATGTTTGTAAAGGCAGACTGCATTGCTAGGTGCTTAATTTTATACACCTGTGGCGATGGGACTGAATGAAACACTTGAATTCAATGTTTAAGAGGTGTGTCCCGATACTTTTGTCCTTATATATACATTTTCATTTTAAATTCACATTTTATAAACCTTTATATAAATATTTATTTCCTTGTATAATCGTTTTAATATCAAATCCATTCATAGAAATGTTTTATAAATGACTTCCCTGCAGTACATGAGCTCCATCATTTCAGCAAGTCTGAAAAGTATTGGTTAGTTTTCAGCAAGTTTTCTTAAGTTTGTGATGTCAAGCAGACCATTTCTGGGTATAAAGTTTTTCTACATGTAAACATCACTCACTTCAATCCACAGCAAAAACCCCAACTAACTACAGCTATGATCCCTGCAACAACTACACTGTTCTTGATGATATCTGGAGAAACACAACCAGCCTTTACACAATTCACAACGGTGGTCATGATGACAGCCTTGTTGAATGGAATGGGTGGTATCGGCTTTATCTTCATGGACTCAGTGCTCAGATACCTGAGTGGAGGGTGACTGGCATGCAGTGTGGTGGTTACACACCACTCTGGCTCAGTGGGTCTCATCCACAACCAGAGGACGGAATTGTCACCCGAGAAGTCAATGGAGCCTATTATTACATTAGCATCACATATATTTATGCCAAATCTAACCCCATCCAAGTGAAAGCCTGTCCAGGAAATTACTATGTCTACAAACTGGTCAAGCCCCCTGTATCACTCCCAATGCCTTCATACTGTGCAGGTAATTTTTCTTGTTCTCTGTTACTTTTTTCTCATTATATACTTGTTAAATATTGCTTTCAAAAGTAAACACGCCAAATGGATTTGGAAGTCTTATGTAGAGGAGCTTGTAAAACTGCTCCTCTGTTAGCTTACTGTGTAGGTAGATAAGTAAATATGAAAAAATCTTGTTACAATTTAGATGTTTCCTATGTTTTTATTGATGACTAAAAAAAGGAGATATACTGTAAACCACTGACAGCACAGTAATTTCAAATCAAAAAAGGAAAAAAAGTGGATAAAGTTTCATTTGAGGCACGTTTTAGACCAGAGGCAGAAAGCACAGAGTGGCCCATGTTATTAAGTATAAAGCAAATTGAAAGTCTTACACGTATGCCACTCTATCCTCTAACGCAGTGTGCCTCCAATGGTAGTACGGCATATCGCTTTGATGCACCCAAACATCAGAGTATTTGCAGCTGTAACAGCAACCTCTGTAATGTTTCTACAACAGTGGCTTTCGTCAAACCAAGTTATGACCCATGCAACAACTACAAAGAACTGGACGAGCCGTGGAGAGCTACAAACAACACAGAACCATCCTGGATTTGTCAGACCACCATAGATTGGAATGGCTGGTATCGGCTTTTTTACCGAGGCAAATCTGTCCGGATGCCAGATTCATGTGTGAATGAGAACAGATGTGGCAGCTCCTACTCTCTCTGGCTCAGTGATACTCACCCACGACTGGAAGATGGAGTGGTGGTCCGACAGGTCTGTGGGAGATCGTCCGACGACTGCTGTTATCTCAGATCCTACCCCATTCAAGTGAAAGCTTGTCCAGGGAATTTTTACGTATATGAGCTTGTAAAACCGCTCATCTGTTATGCATTTTACTGTACAGGTAGATATGTTTGCTGCAATACACAATATTTGATCTCTTGATCTATTTACTGTATTGTTCTTAAATTAATATTGATGCAAAATATTTCCCCAATACAGATGTTGATAGCATTGCTACCACTCCAGAAACCCCAACAACAACAGTGTTTAAAGTGTCCACGACTGTGTCCACCACTACAACGACTGGTAAACCACTCACACTGCTCACTTTCTGTCCTGGAAATACTTAAAATTTACAAAATAATCATTTACTCAATATTATATTAATAAATTACTTATGAATGCTCCTTTCTAAAAAAAAAATCTAAAACTATAATGTGCAGTCGCAATAGAATGAAATAAAATAAAGTAAAATTATATACTTATCTCAAAAATCACAGACACAAAGCTTCTAATGTGTCCTTTTACAAATAGGATTCATAGTTTATGTATAGCTTTGTTGCTAATTTGACATTACTGTTTAATGCATTTTTGTCTTTTGTTCAGTGAGCAGTAGCACTGTAAAAAATCCACCTATGACTACTACCACTACTACTGTACATCTAAGCTCTAACACAAGTATGGAAAGCACACATTCTGGGCAACTTTTCGAGACTCTACTGATCGTTCTTCATGGGGATTGCTGAGATCCTCTAAACTGATGTCTAATAACTTACTAATATACACTCCTGGGCAAAAAAAAAGCCAAACCCAAAATATTATGTTTTTTGCTGATTGGTTTGGCCTGGTCAGAATCCATATTTAACCCCATAGAGAATATTTGGTTGTGGTTTGTGCAATTAACAAAGGAAGTAAAAGAACCTCTATGTCTGCATTTCACTGCTGCTGACTAACGTTACGCTGAACTTAAAGCAGCTTTAAAGTTGTGTACTGATGAAGTATGAATGTATTTTTAGTTTAAACTTAGGGGGGCTGACAACTTATTTTACTAGTATGAGGCTGGCCAGCTATCTAACAGGCTAAAAGACAGGTAACAGGCTAAACAACTCCATCATTAATATCACAGGCTTGAATTGAAGTACTTATGATTCACTGTAAAACGGCAATATAAATGTCTAAAAAATGTCACTTAAATGGATTACATGCCTCAAATGTCTGTGTTTCAGTCAGATGTCGTGTGAAACCCAGGCTGAATCCCAAACAGCTAAATTCCATACTCCTTGAATAGTGCACTAGCTATGGAAATTTGGAGATTTTAGCTTATACAGCCTATTCGTACTCTATTTTTTGAGTGTGGCTCAGTCACAAATAACTCTTTTTAAGTATATTATGTGCTGTTGGAGTTCAGGATCCAGTATTTAAATTCCTACGCTGTAGCTAATGCACTATGTAGGGAGCAGGGAGCCATTTGAGATTCAGCTCCAGCATGAGAAGAGGGCTGCCATTAGATTGGTGCTATAGCAGTCCATGGTTGGTTGGCTATAATACCATATTCTAAAGGAACTACATTTCGTAGTGGAATACTTGTTTATGTTGATTATTTTTCATAATAACTTAAATTATTTGCTGAAAAAATTGTGTATTTTATCAGATTTTATGTTGGCCACTGTTTTATAAAAGCAATAAGCCATGGGAAGCTATGCCTCACTGCAATTTTATCATGGGTAAGGAAGTTTTAGGCACTCCACTTTGTGTTGTGCCTAAGAACACCATTCCCTGTGACAAACCGCAGTAATGCACAGCTTACAACTAATTCAGTGTTTATTAGTGGAATCATAAACAGTACAGAGGAAACATTATTTGTAGTGCCTATGAATGAACATAACCCAGAATTGTAGAAAACATAAATAAACTGGATGTAAATAGAGGAACAAATGCCCAGCATTAGACATCAACATTAGACAATTTTCTACTGTTTCTCTTCAGAAAATTGAGTTTGTAGCAAACATCTTTCTTTTATTGCAGGTGATGTCAACTGCTTTTTCTTACTATTGGGGAAACAGGTGTTTATTATTACTTTAGGAGCAAGTCTTTTAAAAGGGACTTGCCAGAGAGGGTTCAATCTAGAGATGAATGAAAAGAGCATTGCTTTGTTTAATTGGTGCTGCATTATATTATATAATATATAGTATTATATATATATGTTATTTTCAAATAAAACTCTGCTGTTTACCTGCTCTGCTCTCTGTTCCTCAACTGTGTCTCAACCAGGCTGACACCATCCACAATTATAATAATAAGTTTGCTATCTTTTTTCTCTTGTTAGCGAGGGTGGACCCCTGTGCGGAGCTGAACTGCACTGCAGATGAGTGGTGTGGGGACAGAGACGGAGTCTATGGCTGTTTGTGTGATGAGAATCTTCAACGACAAGAGTCTTATGGTACAAACATATTTTAACATAGAATATTGTTTAACACACTTAACTTTTTTATTAACACCATTCCTCATACCTTTTTTCATTTTTCTCACTTTGTCCCAGACTCTACTGAAACTTGTCAAAGCAGCTCTGGCACCATGTCTCTGTCCCGCTGTCAGCTCTTTGAAGCTGGTTTCCCTGCACACGTCCTGCACCTGAGTGACCCCAGCTGCAGAGGATCTCTCCAAAACGGCAGACTGGTGTTCAACTTTGATAATGATGACCACATCTGTGGCACAAATCTCACGGTAAACTAAACAGAAACTACACAAACTGTTCCTCTCAGGCATGCTTTAAGATAATCATACATACCGCTGCTTGCAAATAGAGATCGTTGCAGTGTAAAAACTGTTTTATCCACAAATATTATTTAAAAAAGAGAAACACGGTCTCAAAGAGTTTCCATCATAAGTGAAAATGTTTACAGGCCAACGGTACCCACTTCATCTACGAGAACTCTATCCAGGGGGTAGCTGACTCAGCAGGAGGCGCCATCAACAGAAAGAAACGTCTGGATCTGCGTTTCTCCTGCATTTATGAGCTCAGCCAGACACTCACCATGGACACAGAATTCAACGCTCTGCAGAGGTGGGACTGGTCTTTAAATATACAACTCTAAATCTTCCCGAAGTCTAACTGTCTGCAAATGACTTTCAACAATCCAATAGTTCATTAAGAAGTACACCGATTGGCCACTTCATTAAAACCACCTCCTAATCTCTACGTTTATTGTCCTTTTTATCAGCTCAGTGCACTTCTACAATTACAGATTGTAGTCCATCTCTTTCTCTGCATACTATGTTAGCCCCTTTTTACCCTGTTCTTCAATGGTCAGGACCTCCACAAGACCACCACAGAGCAGGGATTATTTAAGTGGTGGATCATTCTCAGCCCTGCAGTGCCCCTGATGTGGTAGTGCTGTGTTAGTAAGTGCTGGTATGAGTGGATCAGACAAAGCAGTGTTGCTGGAGGTTTTAAACACTGTGTCTACTCACTGTCCATTCCATTAGACACTAGGGCTGTGTATTGGCAGAAAACTAGCTGTACAACACATATTACGATATAGGGGTTATAATTCAATATACTGCAATATATTGCAATACTGTAAGCAAGGCGACATATAACGTTTTTTTTAATCTAATTTTTAGGAAAGCTGTCATGATATAAAACCACCATATGCATAAAATCTGAGCAAAAGAAAAAGAACAGTGGGATCTGCATTTGCATTGATCACAGTCCTTATAACATAAAACACTTCTTTTTGTGTAATCTGAAGAAAGGAATTAATACATGCCTATATCAGTAAAAACCAGTAAAAAAATAAAATAAAAGTTTGTTTTTACCTCCTTGTACAACATGGGCACAGCAATGTCAGTGATGTGCTGTCTGGGACAGATGGTGCAATGAGGCTCCACTGTATTCACCATATTACAGAAACCTTGTTCTGACACAATGTGTTGTCTTATCGGAATTTCCTATTATAGGCCATAAATATAAGTAGCTCCCCACATAAAACCATAGGTAGGACATTTTGATAGCCTAAATTACACAAAGCTGAATTCAGCATCCTGTTTGCCAGTTTCTTGTTTGAATTTTCCTGCTCCACCTTAAATGGTGCAGCAGTTATTATTACAATATATTAGGTGGCAGAAAGTACCTACTGCACCGTTTAAGGTGGAACAGGAAAATTCAGACAAGAAGCTGGTGAATAAGAAACTGACTTCAGCCTCCTCTAAATCTCCTTTTTAGAAAATGTTACCAGCATTAGGACATTGTGATAATCTAAATCACCTTATCAGGGGGTAAGTATTAATATTAAGTTGTACGATACAATAGACCGTACAATAGACTTGAAGTAACTGTGAATGTGAATTAACATTAAAAATATAAGTTACTATAGTAATGATATAGTCATGCTTGCTTGATAGGTAGGACAGTCTACAACATTGCCAGCTAGAGGTTTAAGGGGTTTAAACATAACACAAAATGAACCACTGTCTGCTGCAAAACTTTGCATGTAAACTATTAATTGAAAATCAATTCTATTGTATCAATATTTTCTTACACCCCTACTATAAACTCTTACCTTGTCGTTAGCTCATCTGTTGATGCACAGTTTGTGTTGGTCATCTTCTAATCCTTCTTCAGTGGAGAAAGGATACTGCAAATAGGATATTTTTGGTTGGTGGACTATTCTCAGTCCAGCCATGACTCTGAAACACCAATAGCACTGCTGAATTATCATAATATGTATTGTACTGCTAGATCCTTGCCAATGAACATCCCTAGTGTCTAATGGAATGGATAGTGCGTGGACACAGTGTTTAAAACCTCCAGCAGCACTGCTGTGTCTGATCCACTCGTAGCAGCACAACACACACTAACACGGCACCACCACATCAGTGTTACTGCAGTGCTGAGAATGATCCACCACCCAAACAATACCTGCTCTGTGATGGTCCTGTGGGGGTCCTGACCATAGAAGAACAGGGTGAAAGGGGGCTAACAAAGTATGCAGAGAAAGAGATGGACTACAGTCTGTAATTGTAGAACTACAAAGTGCAACTATATGGTAAGTGGAATAGATAAAGGAACAATGAATGTAGAAACAAAGAGGTGGTTTTAATAAGTGGCTGGTCAGTCTATATACAGTAAATCTGATTATGGAATTATACTGTTAATAGAATAGTGTTTGCACCAAGTGTACCACTTCAAATTATAAATAACTTGTGATTGGACATTTGAACAGCATAGTGCACAAGACCTTTCCAGACGGTCAGGGGATGTACCAAGTCAGGATGATTCCTTATCAGGATGCTGCCTTCTCCCACCCCTACAATGGTATTGTGGACATAGTGGTGGACCAGCGGATCTATGTGGAAGTGATTGTTAAGGGAGTTGACAGCCGTCAGATTGCTACAGTGATAGATTCATGTTGGGCCACTCCTGTGAATGACCAGAACTATGCTGTCCAGTGGAATCTCATCAATAATAAGTAAGACAAAGCCAAGGAGAGCTCATACACTGGTGTAAACCTGCTGTAATACATCTTTTATAAATTCAACATAACTGTTTGAAATGCCACAAAATTCTTTCAGGTGTCCTAATTCAGGTGACCACACGGTGGACATGCTGCAGAATGGTGTCTCCACAATTGGCCGTTTCTCCTTTAAGATGTTTGCCTTTAACGACAACTACTCCAAAGTTTTCCTTCACTGCTCCATCCACCTTTGCCTTCTGCAGAGCAGCAATTGTGCAGTGGTGAGTTCAGAAACCCATCTTGAACAGCTGAAGTCCTGACTCCTGGACAGACATTATCCTGACATTAGTTTTTCACTATAAACAGTGGCTTAAAATATTTGCCCCACTAATAATTCACTATTTATTTAGTGTGTATACTGATGGCTAAGCTATTGATTAAAAATGTCAGTTCTTTCTTTACAATTAATAGCTTCTGAATGATACTCCAAAATGCACAACTCTTGCATGATTTAGAAATGATACTGAGCAAGTACGTTATATTACAATGGATGTACTTTACAGAACTTAATTATATACAGTGCTGTGAAAAAGTATTTCCAATGTCTTCTAGTTTTGCATATTCGTCACACTTGAATGTTTCAAATCATCAGAGAACTACTTTAATATTAGACAATGATAACCCAAGTAAACACAAAATTATGTTTTTAAATGATGATTTCATTTATTGGAGGAAAAATACTGTTCAGCCCTACCTGGCCCTATGTGAAAAAGAAAGTGCCCCCCATCTACTAAATCAACCAGTCTCAAAAAGATGCACACGATGCCACATTTTAAAGAAATTCAAATACAGATGCGAAGCGAAATCACTGAAATTCACTGGTCTGGAAAGGGTTATAAAGCCATTGCTAAGGCTCTGGAACCACAGTGAGAGCCATTATCCAGAGAAAACTTGGAACGGTGGTGAACCTTCCCAGGAGTGGCCGGCCTACCAAAATTTCACCAAAAGTGCATCAACGACTAATTCAGGAGGTCACAAAAGAACCCTGACAAACATCTAAAGCTGCAAAGCGCAAACCACTGCTAACCAAGATGAACATAACGGCTCATCTCACATTTGCCAAAAATGCGATGACCCCCAAGACTTTTGGGATAATATTCTGTGGACTGATTAGTCAAAGGTGGAACTTTTTGGAAGACATGGGTCCCTGACATGGTCAAAGGTGGAACTTTTTGGAAGACATGGGTCCCTGACATAAAGTTAACACTGCATTCCACCATAAGAACATCATACCAACAGTCAAACATGGTAGTAGTGTGATGGTCTAGGGCTTATTTGCTTCTGCAGGACCTGGACAACTTGTCATAATTAAAACATGAGTTCTACTCTCTATCAGAAAATCCCAAAGAAGAATGAGAGCACAGTTGAGTTATCAGTAGGACAGTGATCCAAAGCAAACAAGTCCACCTCTGAATGACTCAAAAGAAACAAAAATGATATTATCCTGACTTGAATCCCATTAAGATGCAGTGGCAAGACCTTAATCGGGCAGATCATGCTCAAAAACCTTCCAATGTAGCCAAATTAAAAGCTTCATTTTGTTTTCACTCATGTTGTCTTTATCTTATATGAAAATTAGTTAGATGATCTGAAACATTTTAGCAAAAAGAAAAAAAAGCAAAAATACAAGAAATCAGGTGAGGGGCACTGTATATATTTTTTTGTACAAATATGCAATTATGTGTGCATATTCTTGTAATATTTTACACCCATAAATTATTTATAAAAACATGTTTGAAACAAATGCACTGAAAAAAGTGCATCTTTTTAGAATACAGAAGTACATACTGACCACTGATGAGTAATTTCATTCTCATATCTGTAAAAGAGCTTGTATGATTTGTAAAATTGCTCCAATGTTCATGAGATCTGATAATTCACAGGATGTTTGTTAAAAGTATATGTCTCCCTCTAGTGGCACTGCAAGTTTCTTAACTGAAAAAGATGACCTGGTTTGTCCTTTACAGAACTGTTCCACTGGACACCAGCACAGAGCTGGCCGGGCTGTGGACATCCATGATAGAGCCTCTATCTCTGTTGGGCCTTTTATCTGGACTGCTAGAAGCACAGGTGAACACTCACACAAGCTATGCACATATCCATGTTTTCTTTTATTTCTTTTAAATATTTTGAGATAATAAATCACCTAGAGTAGATAAATCAGTAAACCTAACTCTTTTTTTAGCCCTTTTTGTTGTTTCTTAAAAAAATTCTCCATTTCTGGGCTAGTTCTTCCTTCATTTTACACTGTAAAAAGTATTGTAAAATTTTATGATCAGTACTCTTTTTTTCAAAGGTAATGCATGTTGATTAACTATATGTACACATATACTGTTGTTAATTACAGAAACAGAATGTAAATTTACAAAAACAAATAATTCTAAATTATAAATAATAAAATAACCATTATTTCACAGACATTTCTGTTTATTTTAGTAGTTGTTACTGTTGTTATTACTATGACAATACTGTATGTCAGAACAATAGAGTTATGAACTAGTGAAACTGTTGAATTGCAGTAAAAGTCAGTATTTCTGAGAAATGAAATGATTGTAATACAGACTTTTACCATCACTGAGAAAACATACTTTTACTGTTAATTAACAGGTTTTGTCCGTATGCACTCATAATGTGTCTGAAATTAATGCTCAGTTTACTAAGGCTGTGTACAGGACTGCAAGCTACTCACAGCGCCACCCAGTAACTGCAAGCACATGAGGTGCAGGGGCTCAAGGGAATTGAAAACAGTACAAAAGCAGTGTATTTGATGTTTTAACTTATGAACTTTTTTTTTTTTTTTGTTAATACAAATTAAATATACACTTGTTCCCGATTTGGTGTCAGCAACACATTCCAAAAAAGTTAGGACAGGCACATGTTTACCACAGTGTTACAACACCTTTCCTTTAAACAGCACTTCAAAATCATTCAGGTTTATATATTCCATCAGGCTTATATAAGTCTTAAGCTGCGGAACCATAGATGGTATTCAGCATCATATTTTGCACTTCTTAATGCACCACATGTTTTAATGGAAGACAATTCTGGACTGTAGGCCAGTCTAGCACCTATGCTCCCTATTATAATCCCTAATTATACAGCCATGCTGTTGTAATACATGCTGAATGTAGCTGAATGTTGAAATAAACATGAATTGTTCTGAAAAAGACATCATCTAGAAGGCACACTTTTAGAAAAAAAAAAGACAATAAACTGTGACCAGGGTGGTACCCCTCACATATCATATCAATTGTATCATATCTCATTAAAGTTATAATTTTTAAAGTTAAATTAACTCCAGACATTTTACTTTATTTTTCTTATTTCAATAATTTGATGAATGAAAAGCTACAAAAAAGCACCCTGAGAAAGTAAATGTGATGTAACTTAAAGGCATATATTTAAAAAACACAATGAAGTTGATAAAGTAAAACTTACATATGTTGTCTTTTTACTGTTTTGCTTTTTCTACAGGTCAATGTAGATTAACAAATAACTAACAAATCACTACTTTCTGTTGTTTGGAGTTTTTTGGTCTGAATAATTTGAGAGTGGGTTCGGGAGATATCACACCCTTAACGCTCAAGAGTACTAATACCATAATAAACAGACAGAAAGTTGCTCCTGTGTTTTTACTGTTACAGTAGTCAGACACAGTGACCATTAATTTAATATAATTGTTTCTTCTTTACTAAAATGGGGCAAATACAATATGCTGATGCTATTCATTTAGAATTAAAATATTTGTTTCTCTTTGACATCATTGCATCTTCCATAATATTCCCATTTTGTGTTGACAGATGACTGAAGGCGTCAGGACCTTGTGCTGTATGTGGATCTCCTTACTATGCAAATTCTCCTTTAAAGACAATCTGAAGACAATCATTATGAGTTCAGGCATTTATCAAATTGATTACATGAGGAGCTCAATAAATAAGTGAGAATATCTTTATAGTTGCAATTATATAATATACAGACCATTTTTCTGAACGCGATCTTTAGCATTACAGATTATACTGTCTGGGTAAGAAAGGACATTAATATCAGATGGTAAACAAGTTGATTAGTGCAAAATATGTGCTTTCATTTCTCCAATAATTCTGTGTTGTATTTTCTTCTTTATCATCACATGTCTGTCAAACTCTTAATATTACCTTTGGAAAATTTTCATTAAATTTCTCTGTAGAGCATTGCTAATGTACCTCATCATGGTTTCTTTATTTTACAACTTTTGTTATACTACAATAACTTGCTTTTTGAACTTGCTGTTGCCTCTGTTCTTTAATGCACACACATAATTACCTCCATTTCATATTAGTAGCCACTACCTGAGTGACCCTTGGGTCGGATGAAGTGACTATGACATGCAGTTGGACAATATTTCTGAACATTTAATACCCAGACATACAGTGGCAGACCAGAACCTCACATCAACATATGCCTGTTAAACATCTTTTTCTAAATAATGCATATTAAAATGGAATTGGTTCCCTTTTGCTGCTATAACAGCCTCCACTCTTCTGAAAAGGCTTTCCACTAGATGTTGAAACATGGCTGTGGGGTTTGCTTCCATCCAGCCACAGAAGCATTAGTAACATTGAGTACTGATGTTGAGCATTGAAGGCTGACTCACAGACTCACTTTCAATTAATCCCAATATGTGTTGGATTGGTTTGAGTTCAGGGCTCTGTGCAGGCCAGTCAAGTACCATACCAAACTCAGCAAACCATTTCTTTATAGACCTAGTTTTGTGCAAGAGGATACTGTCATGCTGAAACAGTAAAGATCCTTCACCAAGCTGTTCCACAAAGTTGGAAGCACACAGTTCTGTAGAATATAATTGTACACTGTAGCTTTAAGATTTCTCCTAGACATTTCCAGTTCACAATAACAGCACTTAGTTGACCAGGGCAGCTCAAGCAGAGCAGGAATTTGAGAAAGTGACTTGTTAGAAAAGTGGCATCGTATGCTAGTGCCATGTTGAACATCACTGAGCCTTTAGTACAATTCAACTGCAAGTTTTATGTGCCTGCAATCAATCTGTGTGGCTGACATAGCCAAACTCCTAATTAGAAAGAGTGTCCACTGCTTGCAGTATACCTGCTCTATTTATTACAGTTACTCTTCTGCTTTTACTCTTTGTTAAGTCTTGCCAATACCCTTCTTCATTATTATCTGATTAGTTTGAGTGTTTGTTCACTTCAACAGTTTGGTGGGTCTTTGATACATCTGTCCACTGTGATTTTGAGCACTGCCTGAATGACTCTACCTCATCGTCTTCTCTACCGCTGAAGCTCTGTACTCATCCATCCAACATCATGGCTGGTCATTATTGTAAGATGTCCAGCTAGAAGAAGTGAAGAGGACAAGAGGACCAATTCACAATTGGGCTTTTATAGTTGATATGAAAAAACAAACACAGAAAAGGCTTTTTCCTCTGGCCCAGTGCACATCACCAGTCACGTTTACATGCAGCCTAATAATCCGACTAATAGCTCGATCGGAATAGAATACGTCCATGTTAACACCTCAATCGGAATAGTCTAGTCCGATCGAGGCCATTCGGAATACGATTTCTATCCGATTGAACGAGGTGGGTAATCCTGTAAATAATCCGTTAAATAGGAGAATAATAGCCATGTAAATGCCTGTATCCGATTACGCTTCCAATCAGAACTTTCGCACATGTGTGACGCGTCATAGCAAAAGTTTATAATGTTTAACATGGTGGGAGCAGAAACTGGTCTGCAGAGGAGACAAAGTTTATGCTTTGAGCTTTAAAAGACGGCGGTTTCAGAACACGACGTCTTCCTCTCGGCCTTCTTTAATAAGGACATGTGAAGGACGTTTTCCTGATTCTGACTTCATTTTAAAGCAATTAAAAACACAAGCGCGCCAACTGAAAACTCATCTCACTCTGACTGGACCTCACGTGATGTTCGCTGTCATGGTAACATGTACTCTAAGTGGTACTCCACGCATACGTGCCATTTTGGATCGGATTACTTGCAGTGAGCATGTAAACAAAGATTTTCATCAGATTGAGTGAGCATATAAACACCTCAGTCTAAATCTGTAAGAATGTATTCAATCAGATTGGCAAAAACCTTTGCATGTAATCATAGCCACTGAGATGCATCTGGGCTTATTAGTAGCTTAGTGACCATTAAAACTCAATTTAGCATGCAGACATTAAAGTGCAAGCAGAGCTTTTCCTCAAGCAGGTTCAAGATAACAATGTCAAGATCACCTCACTGTGTCCAGTCAAGACCATATCACCATGTCCACCTTGAATAATAATCTATTGCTAGAATGTAGGTTGTGCTTTTCAGGAAGACCAGATCTATATTTAGTGCACTACCTGGGGGGAGGTGCTGTCACAGCTCATAGCCTCTGCTATGCTACCACAGATTTAGTAACGTAACGTGAAAAGTGGAACCCCCAGCTCATTCAGTCATATCAGACCTCATAAGTTGTAAGCAAATCATATCAGACCTGAGGGGAGGGCCTCTGGTTTTGCACTGCAAAGTTATCAGCAACCACTGAAGCTGAAACCAGGATTTTAGCTACAAGCTTACTAAAATAAACATTAGACCTTATTCAGCAAATATAATATACAGAGTGAAACAGTTAGTAGTTACATAGTGAATGTATCCATCTACAGTATGGATTTGCGGCAAGTTGTGGTCAGTATAGCTGGCTGGTTACTCAGTTGTATGTTAACTTCCAACCTTTGGGTTTTCATGAGACAAAAAACACATTAGCTAGCTAACTGACAAGCCAAATATTTTAATCTGTGTGAATGAGCAACAATATAGAAATAACATTATTGACAGCTCTGAATACTCTTTGTTTTTATATTTCTCTTTAGCATTTAGAAACAACGACTCCAGTATATCCACATATTGTTGTTTATAGATTTTAGTATTTACTCATCACACCCCGGGCACCACCTGTTCCAGCTCCTTCCCTCAGGCTGGTGCTTCAGCCAGATGAAGATCAGGACATCCAGGCTACAGAGAAGCTTCTTTCCACAAGCCATCACTCTCTTTAACAATTAATATATTACACATAAACAATATTCCAGCTTCTAAACTGCACTTATAAATGATTGGTATATAATATCACACTCAACATTCCATCCTCTGAAACTACCGTTACAGACCAGTGTTTCTTCTAGCATCTTACTTACCTGCCTTATTACCCCACCTATCTGACTGTTACCTCACTTATCCCTTTCTTTGCCACTATACACCCTTTAACTGCTGCTGCACTCAGCACTTTAACTTAAGACACACACTTTGCACAATGTAAGTTTTACAGGTATGACTGTGTGTTTTGTGTGTGTGTGTGTGTGTGTGTGTGTGTGTGTGTGTGTGTGAGTGAGTGATGGTGGGAATGCATGTTTTATTTTATTTTATTTTATCTTATTTTATTTACTACACATAAATGCTTGTCTGATACCGTGCACTGTGAGCTCCTGTAACCAAAACAAATTGAATGTGTAAGCTTACCTGGCCAATTAGGCTTGATGCTGATTGTAATTCTGATTCTGATTGTACATCTCACCTTGAGAGTTAGTCTTTAAGGCCAATGCCTCCATCTAGCTGCTATGACTGATATTGCTGCCATTGTTAAAGGATGTCTCGCAACAACACGCTTTTGAAAAGAATGCTTTAATGGCACATGGAGTACCCAAACTTCTGTCAGTTAAACAGAATATGTAATCAGCTGGTTATCCACACATTATCTTGTGCATTTCTTCCACATTTTGCATGGGAGAGGAACTCAATTTGAAGTTTTCCATGCACATGGCCCATAAATGGTACAACAGTTTTGTACATAACACCTGTGGGCAATGCATCATATTTGCATCTGAAACTGGTGCAAAAGACTTTTGGCCCATGGTGGTATAAAGCAGTGTTTCTCAACCCTGGACCTGGAGGCACACTGCCCTGCACATTTTTGTGATTATCCTCCACCTTAACACAATACGGTGGTGTTAGTGAGCTGATTAGTTGGATGAGGTGTGTTGGGAGCAGGGGAAATGCTAAAAGTGTAGAGCAGTTCATACCAGCCAAGGGGTGTACAGCTCTTGGTGTATGATGAATTCTTTTAATGTTCTTAGTTGAACCTTGCTAGTATGTGGATGTGGGCTGCTTCTGGCAGAAGTATGGAACTGCTGGCCCTTGGTCTGCACCGGCTAACTGCATGTGAGCCAAAAGTGGGACACATACTAAAATTCTCGTATGGCCTACATGTCTCAAAACATATCTGGGCCACTTCTGGCAAACATTGCCAGTGCTGACATGAACTCCGTAAGCAATAGAAGACCAGAGGGAGTGTGTTATTGCGAAATAACACCACAGCCATGATATTATTCGCAATAACGCACAACCTTGAGTGTGCTATTGCTTTTATACAACAGTTAAATAAATAAAGTAAGAAATAAATAAATTGGGCCGCGAACATGGAAATTCCTTCCACCAAATTATCATTCCTTAACAAGCAGCTTGTTGCTACATCAGAGTAATGAACTCTGCTAACTCACTGCACTGTCTGCTGTAAGCCTTGCCTTTTGAAGTACGGACTGAGCCATAGAACTGCCGCAATATCAAGTTTAGCTTAGTTTAGTTTAGTTTAGTTTTGTAAATTTTTGCTAGATCAATGTGTTCTTCTGTCACAGCTGCCGACTGAAAAGCTTGCTCAGTAGTAATGACAGTTTCAGAATCGACTCATCTTCAGAGTCTGACCAAATCAGCTGTCGGTCAAATGTGATCTTAAAAGTATCCATTTTCTGTTTGTGCGCAAAGTAAGAAGTAAAAATGTTCAGATGGTTGGAGTGTCTCCTACAGCTGTCAACGTCATCGCTTAGCAACGGCATCTCAGCAGAGTGA